AAAAAAAAAAAAAACTAGAACCAAAAAAGCCACACTGCGCCGCGGCAGTTTCACTCGGACCAGCATCCTCCCCACATTCCGACGAATGAGCGCCTCACCGTGTATTAAAAGATCTTTTTTTTTTTAACTTGCACTAATGGAAACTTCTCGTTTCTGGGGAATTCCTTCCTGCAGAAGTTGTGAGAGAATTATGACTCAAGGGTGTTCGTGTGAATGGCCTCTTCTCGATTTAGAAGTGTTAAGCGTTAGTATTATCATCATCATCATAATACGAGTTTCATTTTTATTTATTTCAAGAAAGCACCTTGCAGACGCTGTAGATGATAATGAGTGTGGCCCCCAGGAAGTAGCTGGCTGAGGGCTCTTCTCCCATGATGTACTTGTACCACAGCTGGATCGGAACCAGAGCTCGAAACAGCTGACTCAGCTCCTCGATCAGCAAGTAGAACTTGCCCTGCAAACAAAAATGATCATAAACTAAAATGTAAATGGCTCGACATTTGCTATCAAAATGAGGAAAAAAACAAGTGTCCTTTAAGTCCTTTTTTTTCTTCTTAGTTTGTATTTTCAACGTGTTTAGGAAAAAATTGTGAATACATTCATGCCATTCAGTTTAGTTTTACTGTTCGCGGCAAGGCTGTAAATTCGTATTGTGATAAGATAAAACTATATTAAAGGCAACACGGGAAGAAAGTCATATTTTAACAAGGGAGTTTCTAAAATACAACTCTTCATGTACTACGACTTTCCTTTCGGAAGATTCTTTTATTTATTTAGTTATTTTTTAAACGACTATTCTCGAAAAAGTATGCCTCTGGTTCTCCAGCCTACCCGCCCAAAAAATAAAATAAAAACCAGAACAATGATTATTATTATTATTATTATACACCAATTATAATTACTACAAGTGTTTTTTTTTTTTTAAATACAGAGTTAAAAAAAAAAACAACAACAAAAACTTCACAATGTGCACTAAGCTAAGTTAGGGTTTGTTTATGCTCAATAAGTGCTTTATAGTTTGTTTATATTGGTGTGCCAGTCCTCATATTAAGGTATGCACTCATTTCAAATTATTTTTACGGACCCCCAAGCGACGGCTGCTGGACCCCAGTTTGGGACACACTTAATGACTTTGTGACAAAGATGGATGGCTGTGGGTAAAGGCGCTGGCTGCCTGGTGGGTCGGGAAGGAAGACCTTCGCTCGCGGCTAATTCATCTTCCTTTCTTGTCCCCGCAGCCTCGGTTCCCAGTGCGGTCATCACGCCCACGCCAAAATTGTCAAATGGACGATTTGGACACCAGCCAAGAGACAAACTTAATGTGCTTCTGCTTTTTTTTTTTTTTTTTTTTTTTAAAGCTTTCATTACTATGAGTCCACTCAGACACTAAACTTCCTTTTTAGGCCCTTTTCATATTGCTGCGCTGCCAGTTTCGCTGAGCCGCATGACATTTGGTAAGCATGTCGATTAAGAGAAGGCCAACAAAAACACGCAAGAACTAAGGGCTGAAAAGGCACAGGAAGTCAGCCATTTTGGTTCGAAGCCCAAAACTTTCCATCGGCTCCGATGCCAACTGCTACAATGTCCGTGCTTTTGCAGAAATACGAGGAAAAAAAATATGCAAGCTTTCTAGAAACGATGAGTAATCTCCGACTAAATTATTAACTTCGGTTCCACAGTGACTCACACTTCTTTTGAAGTCTGCCCTTTTCACCAGATAGAAAAACGTCAGTCATAAGACTGAGGCGGTTAGGCTTTGACCTCGGTTTGTTTGGTTGTTTCGGTTAGTTTATTTTAGTGAGTTAGTATGCATGCAGTGGTGAAAAGTCAAACTCTTCCCAGTTTCTCGTGGCAGGTGCAAACCAGGACTTCCATGAGCAATCAAGATGAGAAGGTGCAAAGAAAATGATCTGAATTGGCCGCCAGTCACAAGGAGGAGTCACGCGTGACCGCCTCTGACAAAATAGTCGCATAAACTTCCCCACTCACACGTGGTGGGCAGCTTCCCCCAAATTATCGGAGCGATAGATTTATTTTCTACAACTCAGTCATGTTTGTTTTTCCAATGCCGCCAATTGAAACCTCCTTTTGCACGTGTGGACCTCTCATAAGTTTTCAATGGCGAAAAAACACAGAGATATTTAAAGCGCAAAAACCTCATTTAAATAGGACAGCATCACATTTTTTTATTCCTGTTGCCAATCGCAACGAATCTGAATCTGTTAAAAGTTAACACGCGATTTAGCCCCACATATCCGGGATCTTAGTAATTCAGGCTCTTGGGCTTCTAAATTGGGAAGAGGCCATTCATGCGAATAACTCTGAATCATAATTCTCTCACAGCAGCTGCAGGAAGGTGTTCCCCAGAAAGGACAACTTTCCATTTGAGCAAGAAAAACAAAAGAAAATGTATTCACTGAAAACATGGTACATTCAATGTACAATGACCATTAAATATGATGTCAATATTGTACAACAAATGTGCAGGACCACTGGAAATGGTCATTATGACCTTGACACATCAAACCAAAATGGCTTTTTGACATTTTTATGTGATCAGTCATGATCGACATGCTTAGCAAGTGTTATGTTTTTCAAGTGAAACTGGCTTCGGGCACCTGATTTTTTTAAACAGTTCGGAAGAAATAAACGGACTCCAAAATATCTGCTTCAAACAAAAATGGCAGACGTTCTGTGTTCTTTCAAATCTGACTCCTTGAGCTATTTTTATGGCTCAACGTATGATTGATATTACCACAACATTCCATGTCGCAAAGTGCTTCACAAATCCATAAGACCATTAGTCAAAAGAAAAAAAAAGTGACCCAGGTTAGGTTGAAGTGATTACGAAGGAATAATATTTGGCCACTCCTGATAATTACTTTTTATTGTTCATTCTTATTAATGTCATGTCCCGATCTATTTAGCAACTTATTTCCCCCTCTTTTATTTGTACTCCCCCGAGCCGTTCCGAGCAAAACATGCTTCTTTTCCTGTCATTCATTCACATTGAAACACATTTTCCGTTAGAATTTTGCACCTTTGTCTTATTTGTGTCTGTATCTTGTTTTATCTTCACACTTGTTGCGCTCTTGTATTGTTTGTCTCCTGACTATCATTTTATTGAACTATTTGTAGGCCTTAGTAGTTCTGAGTCCTGCTCTGCTTCAGGGTCTTATGGGGTTTCACAGGGTACAATTTTAGGGCCCCTGTTTTTCACCTTTTATCTTCTCCCCCAGGGTTGCTTAATAAAGTTGATTATCGCATGTGTTAATGTATTGGTGGTTTGAGAACAACACAAAAAAATATATATACAAATCCCAATGAAAACTCATTCTTTTTTTCCCCAACACACTCCTACCTGTTTTCCACTCACAAATCACAACAAAGGAAGTTGTACTGAAAAATGAATGTCACGAAAGGCACGTAGTCCCTTTTAACATGAATCACACGTGCCGTAACTTCGACTGTCACCGTCCTTCAGTCATTGTTTAGCAAAACGGAAACCGTATCATTTCCTCTTTTTTTTAAATTATTTTTTCCCACGCTCCTGTTGTGAAGGCAAACAAATATCTCTGTTTAATACATCCAATACAGACATGGAATAGATGTTCATCAGTCTGTTGTTTGTGTTTCTTGAGGAAACCAGAAATGCTCACAGCCAAACCAAAAGTGACCCGCTGCATGTTTAACTCTCCTTGTTATGTTGTGGGTCAAATCAAGCCATTAAAAAAAATTGGGAGAGAGATTCAAATTCACCCTGGAATACTACTGGTGTTCTTTCTTACGCAATCTCTGTTTAGATGAATTTGATTTTTGTGCAATTATTATTGTTAGAATATTGAGAAATCCTATTTAGGCCCCTTGCGTCACGGCCATGCAATGTTCAGTACAACGGAAGGCACAGAAGGAATGAAGGAAAAACTGATGACATATTTTAGGACGAAACGTGTTCTGTAATTCCATATGCTTTCCGTGTGTTGACAAAATTATAAACTTGAATGTGAACTCTCACCCTGGACTTGAAAGCCAAGAGGATGCCAGGTAGAAAGAGGACAAAGCATTTCAGTCCAATGGTGACGAACTTGAGGACAAAGTCAGTGACGCCCACCGCCCACATGAGGTCGAAGAAGTCAAAACCGTCCAGATTGGGCTTGGAAAACATGAGGCTGGAAGGTGAAAAAAAAATGACATTGTTATCAGGAATGTTGGGGTGACACACGCAGTAGCGCATGATGAGACAAATGATAATAATATGCGCAAAAGCAAACTCATGACAATACTCACAGGACAAAAACCAGACGGGAGCTGTGCTAAAAGAAACAACACATAAAATGGCTGACGTAATGGAAAAAAAAAACACAACAAAAACCAAAGAAAAGATGAAGCTAATCAAAAGGGCAGCTACAAGTCACACCAGCTGACGTTGACTACCTGTTGTAGAGCTCCTCTTGGCTGAAGGCGTAGTAAATATACGCCACGTTGCCGGAGAGGAACAGCCCGATCCAGAGGGCCACCAGCACCGAGCGCTCCTCCTGAAATGCACCCAAGCACGCGACACAAAAAAAAAATTGCGTGTAGACAAGAATTCTACCGTTTTTTTTAAACAGTTTTGGACCCTGGGGAATGGTCGGGAAACTTTATCTTACCCGCAGCGACACCTGATGCTTGAACGTGGCATTGGCGTAAGCAAAGGTGCTGGCCATCCCCACGCAAACCGCGATACCTGTGGCACAAATGACATGGTCAGCATCCTCTTCATCATCAACAGAAGACATGGAAAAATAAAACACCTGATTGACAGCGATTAGGGCCAGGGCAGAGCTTAGGTTGGAATCGGTGGGATGTATGTGCAAGTACAGAGGCAAACGTGCTGGGATGCTTAACGATGCTAGGTATGGGAACAGTGTTGATTTATAGTATGAGGGGCTAAAAAAAAAAAAAATCTGAAAACATGCGTTTCATGGGAATTGCACGGCAAACAATCTTATTAAACTATCTTATACCGAGCTTGTGCTGGAAGCAGACTTTGGCCAGCAAGATGAGGATGAACGGGAAGCCCCGCTGGAGCCACGTGACCACCGCCTTCAGCTCGGACAGGGCCGGTGCAGGAGTGGACGGGTCCTCTGGGCCCGCCTCTTCCCGGTGCCCGTGGTGGTGCCTCTCTGAGCCCGCCGCCGCTGCCACCGCCGTGGCCTGCTGGAGAAGAGAGGAGGTCCTGTGCTGCAGCGGCGGGTGGTGGAAATGGTGCTGAGGCTGAGGGTGAGGGTGCGGGTGGTGATGGTGGTGTGGAGGGCGAGGGAGGAAGGCTCCGCCCTCGGGCCGACGGGGGCCGCCTTCTTCCCGGGACGACGCCGTCATCTGGACAAAGACGTCCGGCGGCGAGCCCAGCACTAAACTGGCCGCCTGGAACTGGGCGGAAGAGACGGTGGCAGACGGGACGCCCACCAGGCCAGAAAAGATCTGGGGTGATGCAGGTGAGTCGGCTTTGAGGCAGTCAAACACGCCACCCTCGTCCAGACTGCTCTCTGATCCCAAAGTTTGGCTACGGCTCCTAAACAAGAAAAGTGAACATCAGATTGAAGTACTGCAGTGTTTCCCCACTGTTTTGTCATGAACTTTTTGAAAACCCTTACCCTGTCTAAAAAAACTCAAGTTTGGTCAAAACGCCAACTTGAAACCCTGTATGCATGTGTCAGGACCCTTAAAAACCATAACTTGGAACATATGCTTGAATGTCTAATTTTAAACTCTAACCCTCAACTGAAACCCTAACTCTGTCTTAAAACATCCAAATTTGCTTGAAACCTTAACTTTGAAAAACTCTGTATCGACACCCTAATTACAAACACGAATTCTGTCATTAGAACCGTAATTTTTATAACCCCTACACTGTCTTGAACCCCTACTGATGAACTGTACTCTCGTTTAGTGTACAAAAAAACAGACGCATTTGTGGTTCGGTCGCTCGCCTTTCTGAGGGCATGCCATCCGTGTTGCTACTGTGTCTCCTCTGCATGGCACGGCGCTCGTCAACACACGAAGCGGCCCTGAGACCACCAAATACACAGGCCCATATCAGACATGTTCACGTTTAGGGCCTTTTTTTTTTATCCATTGGGCAGGAAGAAGTTTGAAGCAGTGTTTACCTTAATGTCGTCAATGAGTCCTCCTCCGGTGAATTTCATTTTTTATTTCAGGTGAGCTAGTTTATTACCGATCCGGCAAAGATGCTCCGCTTGCCGCAGTCATTTTTAGCCAATAACTTCCGGAGTGACGTCATCGTCTCGACGCATATCGACCAATCGCTTTTGAGGTTTGCTTATTTTGCCGCTTCGGTGATTTGCGGTCAGGCCGCATTCGAGGAAGGTGGCCCGACTTACGACTCGGAAAAGAACAGTTGAACCTTTCTTTCTCGAATTTGGAAACCGCCTGAACAGCCTGAACTGGAAAAGGCATTTTTCCTTTGCAGACTGAATGTTTTCAGAGATTAAGTAGGAACGCTACAGTTGCTTGTTTCATGTCCAATAAAATCATTTTTTATTCATACTATACACAGGTATTTGCAATTGAAATGTTTTTACATGTACAAATGTTCTTACTGCATTAGATATACCTCGTAGTTGGCGGCCATTTTATTGAAAATTTACGTTCGTCATGTCTGTCCTTTGAGATACGTCGTAACGAGGTTCGACTGTCGCGTTCCAGATACAGTAGCTACAATTCAGTTTCCCATACACATGAATGGCAAAAGTGACGTCATTTGCCCGTGGCGAAGTGACGTTTCAGATATCTGGCATTCCGGGTTCACGAGGCAGAATTTAATTCCAGATATCTCTAATTTGCTTCGTCACACTTGTGTTCGGGATATCTTGAATGGAAACTCGATTGAAAATTAAAAATGCTACGTCACCACGTTGTCGGCATTCCTCGACCAATCGCATTTTGACGTTCACGGTTACGCCGCTTCCGTGTTGTGTCGTCAGGTTTTGTTTTGCTAACGCCGGTGGATAAACACCACTGCCACGTATTTCGGGAAATATAACGTTCTCTTTGCTGCGTATTGCGTTTCAGTTTGTCTCATTTTCACATACCCCCACCCAACTTGTTATTTTTTTCTCGGTTATGTGTCCTCATGAATAAGCTAGTCTGCTCATGCTAAGTTCTCACGTCAAATTAAGATATCAAGCTAACAAGGCAGGCCAACGAGTAAACGTGAATTGTTGCTGTCGTCACATTTAAGTCGATTTATCATGCAAAATGGGTTAATTGCAGAAGATGCGGAACGATCTTTGAGTAAATTTTTGTGAGTCTTGTCGGGAGCTAGCTAGCTTTAGCAGAACATCGTGCACGTTCACGCTTGCACAATTTAACGAAACGACAGGAGGTTGGATGTTTGTGGACAAAGTCAAGCTATGATGGTGCTCCGGCGTCTCCTGAGGAAGCGCTGGGTGCTGGGAGTCGTCTTCGGGCTGTCGCTTATCTACTTCCTCACCAGCACGCTGAAACAGGTGCAGCATCGACGCACAAGCGTAAAAATAAGTTAGCCTTCACCGTTTTCAGCAGACAATACAACTGATGTGACAATAGTGTTGAATATAAGGAAGCTTGCGGCTGATGAGTGGACTTTATAGTTCGTTTTTTTTAAATTATCATTTAAATGTAAAAATAATGTGTGAGCGTGCAGGAGGAGCGAACCACTCGGGACCGCGCCCTTCTGGAGGTGAGGGACATGGAGCGTCGCATCCCCTGGAAGTTGCGCTTTAACCTGGGCAACAGCAGCCGACAGATGGGCCATTGTCGTAACTCCATTCAGGGCAAAACGCTGCTCACCGATGAGCTGGGTGAGCAATGAGCTCTTCGCTCTTGTCATAGCCGTTATCACGGTTGACGCCAAGGCGCACCCGCAGTCGAGGCAGCCAGAACACACTGTGGATCATATCAATGTCAGCTGCAAAAAATAAAATCTTACGGCAATGACAAGGTAGAAGTTGTACATTTGTGAAAAAATTCATTTCAAGAATTTTACCTTTTTCATTAAAAGGAATCTTAGAAAATGAAGTCAGAAAATTAAAAAAATTGAGATTTGTTCATCTTAAATGACTGAAGATGCGTTGAAAATAGAATCTCTATTTTTTCAAGAAAACGATATTCACAGGCAAGATGAGTCAGCAACAATCAGTCGCACGCTTAGGCGTCATCATGGCAATGCAAATCCCATCCTGCCTTAGAGGTGCTTGATTAATAAGGTGGAGGTGCCTTTTTAAATGAGCGTAAAAAATGTGTTGTGTCTCCTTGCGATAGGTTACGTGTGCGAGCGCAAAGACTTGCTGGTGAACGGCTGCTGCAATGTCAATGCGCCTCGCAGCAGGCAACATGTCTGCAAAAGCTGCCTGCCCAACGGTTGCTGCAGCGTTTACGAATACTGTGTGTCTTGTTGCCTCCGGCCAGATAAGGTAAACGCTTTGTCCACATGCAATTGGGTTCTTACCGTAAGAAAAAAAAAAAAAAAGTCATTTCCAGATAAATTGCCAACTTCCGACAATCAAGAACATCTCGTAATATTCCAAGAAAAAAGGTTGTCTTTTTTTCCTCCTGATGAAATTTGTTTTTGAGAATTTGGTCATGTTTTTCAAGAATGAGAAAAGACATGAGGAAAAAAAAAGTCATTTGGACAGAGGTAATTTTGGATGAAGAAAGGAAAAGTTTCTTCAGTAGTTTTATATTTGAGACGTTGACATTGTAAGTCCTAACTTAAGAATGAAGTCATTTAATGTTGGAAATAAATCGTAGTTTTATATTTGAGACGTTGACATTGTAAGTCCTAACTTAAGAATGAAGTCATTTAATGTTGGAAATAAATCGTAGTTTTATATTTGAGACGTTGACATTGTAAGTCCTAACTTAAGAATGAAGTCATTTAATGTTGGAAATAAATCGATTTTCGTCCTCGGGAAACTACAATTTTTACAGAGCTGTTTACGGGAGAAAATGCATCCTTTTCAAAAGTCAAAATCTTTTTCCTCACATTTGTTTCCTCTTTCAAAAATAAATTGCCCTCCCCGACCCCCCAAAATAAGATGACGTCCTTTTGGAGGACAAAAGTCCAACTCTTGAGCGAAGAGGTGTTGTTTGTTTCCTTTCCATGATTTTAGCAAGCTCACCTGGAGCGCTTCCTGAACCGCGCCGCCGAAGGCTTCCAGAACCTCTTCACCGCCGTGGAGGACCTCTTTGAGCTGTGCCTGGCCAAGTGTCGCACCTCCTCGCAAGTACGTCCGTCCTAAAATCTCCTTTTCTTTTTTGTGTCTTGTCACATTGGCCTCCTGTCCTTTTCCGGAAAGTATATTAGCGACGTACGAGCAAACTATGTCATTGAAGCGTGGGGGGATTTTGGTCTGGCTTCATCATCTCCAACTAAGGCTCTCTAAATATCTCCTGAATACACTGCTACTCCTTGTCGAACGCCCAAAACTGTGTTTGCGGTTCATGCAGAGTGTCCAGCACGAGAACACATACCGGAACCCTCAAGCCAAGCACTGCTACGGCGAAAGTCCTCCAGAGCTCCTTCCCATCTGAACGCTGTCTCCGACCACAAGAAAGACTTTTTTGCTGCCTTTTTACCCTTAAAGCACACGAACAACGAATCCACGGTTTACACTTGAGAAGCGCATTCGGCTGTGATGTGACAGTCGTCAGTTCCAAGGCAGGCGACTCCCGTTTGTTCAGGGCCACAGTGATATTGTCACACTGTGACCTCCGCCAAGGATGTGGCAGGCAGGTTACGGATTGATCAAAGTTAGTTTGTAGTTGTAGGCTGGCCCGCTTAGCAAGGAGTATTTGGTGCCACGGTTAAGGACGGACAGCAATTACACCATGCGGGTTGTCATGTTTTTGTGAAACAGCTTAGCGGACATTTAAAAAAAAAATAATAATGAGTGGGCTTTTTTTAAGGGGTGGGGGCAATGTGTGTTTTTTTTTTTTTTTTTTATGCAAAGTACATTTTTTGACAAAGCCACAGGAGTTTAAGGGGAAAAAAATAGGATGAGTTTCAGAAAAGCAGATTTTTTTTTTTTTTTTTTTTTTTTAGAATACTGGTCAGTAACAAATTTGTGTCCAAGATTTTTTTAAACTGATTTACAACAATTTCATTGTGCTGAATTCAATTTTTTTTTTTTTTTATGCTCAGTCAGGTCACCTTTTTGAACTATAGCCATGTGGTTTTTTTTCCTCCACGCCTTTTTTGTTTACATGTACATTTATTTTTGATTGGCTATATTTTTACATTTGTGTATTTTTCATTTGCTATATTTATTGACAGGTAGGCCTACTTTTATAAGTGTCTGCTATTCAATTTACTCTCAGTAAAGTTTATAACATTTAATTAAACTTTCTTTCTCTTAAAACCTCTCAAATGACAAATAAAAATCAACAGATGATGTCATGAAATATATACATTGATCTGGTAAGAAAATCAGATAAAAAAAAAAAAAAGGAAATTGTAATTTGGCATGAAAACCTAACCTTAAGACAACCGGATGTCATTTCCGGAGTCAGTGATACAAAATTGTCCAAAATCAGATGAAAATCAGACAACCTAAAAATAAGTAACCCAGTGGAATGTAGAAATAAAGTTGAATTTAGAAAAGTTGAATTCAAAGTCCTTTTTTGGACTTGGGGGTGAAAGAAAATAATTACAGGAGTAAATGGTGATTTTTAAAAAAAAAAAAACTCAGTCTTACTAGAATAAAGTTTTTTGTTTTTTTAACCCCAAATTCATGAGAATGACGAAAACGTCATAATCTGACAATAGTTCACTGATTAAATGACCTTTTACGGAGGAACAACTCGTTCATTGTAACATGAACGCTGACCCACAAAAAAAAAAAAAAACGGCACCTCCATACATCAGCCTCATCATAGGAACGCCGTGTGCGAAGAAGGTGCTGCATTATTAATTATATTCTTCTACTTTTGTGATCAGTCCCGCCATGCTGGAGGTCTTGCGCTCCCCCGAGTGCCGTCCGACAAGTCGTGTCACAGTGTCAAGTGTATCAATGCATGTTCATGAAATAAAAGTGACTGAAACCAGGAAAAGACTTTCAAAGCGTTAATTTACCAGAGCGCACGCATTTGTTCCGCAGCAAAAAGAGTATTGCGAAGCTGGATCTCCGGTCAAACAGAACAAATGTGCTCAAATGTCTATCGAAGGAATACAAATTGGTTGAAATTTGGTAGGATTGTGTTGACTGACTCCGGTGGTATGCTGGGCCGATTGAAAGAATACTTTTGAAGATTTGATGAATGAGGACAATGAAAATGAAGGAAGGGAACGAGAAGAGGCAATTGTGGCGGACCACAAAGTTACAATGACAGACGGAGCAGGTTGTGGGGTTCCTGGCAGGAATCTCCAGTGGCTTGTGTTGAGTTGTAGCCTGTACAAAGCGGAACCATCTAAGTCATCTGTGTCCACAAATCCAAAATTCATCCTCGACTGCACAACACCAATTGCATTAGAAATAGTCAGAAAATAGTCCAATTCATCATCAATATTGTACGATATAATTCCGTCAGATATGTCAATTCTTTTATCAACAGGCTACAACGTCTTATGTGAAGTACAGGAATTTGATCACTAAAGTGGAGGCATTTTACAAATAGCCTAATCAGTTGCAAAATGCAACATACAATAGGTAAACCACATTCCGTTAAATTCAATCATGAGAAGCTTCATTGGTTAAAGTGCAAGCAATGTCAAAAATATTTTAAATACTCAATAATCATTATTCTGTTCTGGGGGGGAATCCATAACGACGAAGATCAATCGACGCGGTCGGGCACCGGCAGTCGGCTCTACAAAATTGGGCATCAGGTAATCAGATTGTAGCAGCGGGATTTAAATTAATATAAATTTTATAAAAACGCACCTGCAGCAGCAAGACAAACGTTTCTTCCCTCGCGCCCTCCTTGACATTTTCCGCCTCGCCGTCACCTTATTGGAGCTCAGCGGTCACATGACCGAGACACGCACTAATGGCAATAGCAGACAGAAATTTCATGTTGATTAGTAAAACGAGCTTTAGGGGGATGGCTTTTACAAAAAAAAAAAAAAAAAAAAAAAATTTAAATTAAACACCCTCACGGGACTTTCCCCGCGTCTTGTTCGGACGCTGGAAATGACCAAATGGTTTCAAAGCAAGATGGCGGACTTGCTGTGTGCTTTCATGCGGTCCTTGGTGGGGACTTTGTTCATGCCCACCAAATGTCATACTGATATATATTTTTTTTTGCATGGGGGAAATTAGGATGAATAACAAGTGAGAAACAGAGCAAATTTAAGAGGGCCTTGGAAATAATTGGAGAAGTCCCAGGCTGTGTTAATGCCTCGCCTCCTCCCATCTGCGCACACAATCAGCCACGATTGGAGTCAAGCGGCGACCCGTCCGTGCGGTGCCTTCAAGGGACGGCCTGACGGCACGGGACCATTAATCATCCTGCGGCCCAAACAAACCAAAATATCCTAATTAGGGAAACATATCTGTCAGCCTTTTTTTGCCAGCTTGATTAATGACCATCGTGTGGGACCCATGACTTTGGATGCTGGCGCCCGCTGCCTGGCCTTTTATTAAAAATGAGTCCTTGACACTTGAGATTGTACTTTGACTTGAATATTAAAAGACCATACAAAAACCGCTTGATTACAATCCTGATGTTTCAGATCAAGTGCCTTGGAGGAAGGAAACATCTCCGAGGGGCCCTCGAGGACCGGACCTGGGTGGACCTGTTTGAAACTTTTTAAACTGAATATCGTCGACAATCTTGTGGTTGTTTACTTTCGAGTATGATTTTGTTGTTCACGTGCGCCTGACAATATTTACACAAGCAACAACAGCAACAAAATACTGAATAAAAACTTTATTTATAAACTCTGCACTTTAATTTAGAACAATAAATACAGCAATAACATAAGTAGAAACATCCGATTATAAATAATCATCATACTGAACGGTGACTAAAGAACAACGGTGACCTCATCAGAGGAAAGTGCAAGATGCATGGCGGATTGGTTGGGACCCGACGAAGCTTCTGGGTCTGAATTCTGGGGCCTTGGCACAAGTCTGCGTGCTCTTTGTGGGGTGGGGTTGGCCCGTGGACCAAGGAAGACTTGTTGACAGCAAAATGAGTTCTAATCCTCGATAAAAAGTATCAGGCTGCATTCTCTGATTTCCCATCAAATCTTGTCAGCAGACGACAGTGAAGCTAACGGTTAGCTTTGTTTTGGTTTATCCACCCACAGCTTGATCAGACCTTTTCACTTATTGCCCACGAACTGGCCAGAGAAGTAAACATTGGATTCTTGCGCCACCTGACACGCTCCCAGTTTTTCACACAACCTGAGCAGAACTCTTCTCCGGCTTTTCTGTGCAAATGATGGCACCTAATAAATTAATCGCTGTGAAAGGACTGGCTTTGAACCGGCTACCTTCTGTGTTTTGATTCTGCTTGGTGGTCTGCGCCCGGCGTATATTGTATCTGGCTACCTTATGGAAATGGACTACGGTCAAAGCTCGACATTGTAGGGGCAGTTTTCCACAAAACTCAGAAGAACCGTTCGTGCCCAGTTTCAGTTCTGGTGTGAAAACATTTTTGTGCCACGAGCAGAGCAGAACTCTCCTCTCGGGAAGTTTTCAGTAAAGCACAGCGCAGTAATCAGCAGCGAAAAACTTTAGCGGCTCAGATCCAGTTCCCTCCTTGAGTTGGATTTTGGGGCCTGGCCCCAAGAGTTCTTGATCCACCCGAAGCCTCGTCGATGTGGTTGTCGCACGGCTCCTGAGCCGCCTTCAGGACCTTGTTGACCTCGGCGAGCCAGTCTTTCAGGCCGACGATGACTTTCCAGCCGTAGGACTTCTTGGCCCAACTGTGATTGTGGCTTTGGTGCGGAGGCTCTACCGTTGTCAGCGCCACCTCCGGGTCGATCCGCTGGGCCAAGAGCACCAACATATTCGTTTGGCTGAAAAGACTCCATTTGACCTGGTTCAGAGGCTCGGCCACGTTGATCGGGTTGCCCCAGTCTGCAATTTGGTACTCTTTCACCTTGTCGATATGCAGGTTGAACACCACGTTATGAGCGTAGATGTCCTGAAGCTGCTCGGAGAAGTTGGAGCCCCTCACGGTGTAGTTGGGGACATTGGGAGGCACGCCGCTCAGCCCGTGAAAGGCCATCTGGGAGGGGGAAGGAGGGCAGACGGGTGAGCGTGCATTCGTTAAAACAACGCTCATGTTATAAGGGACCGTAGGTGTTTCCTGCAATAAGTGTTCAAAAATGCCCAATAAAAAAAAATAAAGTCTAGTTTTCCGAACCTTCAAACTTAACTTGCGTACGTTGGGGAACATACGTTTCTATTGCTTGATGATTCATGTTTTATTACAGTCTCATTTTCGAAGAGCCTCCGAGAGCCGAGGCGCCGATCGACTCGCTTGGCTTTCAAAAGAGTTTCAGACGGACGGGACTTGAAAAACAGGAAGCTCGATCTTGTGGGATAACTACAACGAGCATCGCGATTGTGAAATGACCAGTAACCGGATTACTAAACTGCAGCATGTTCGGCAGTGTGAGGCAGCCAAAACAGCTGTAGCGAGACGGTGGCGCAATCATGGATTGTAAACGTTGTCACACAGTACTCGAGAACGGCTGGCATGGCCAAGAATAACAAAGTGAGGTCATGTCGTTTCCCTTGACGCATTGCGGTAGGCTCGCAATTTGGACAAACGTCCTCTCCGAACCCTGACGTCAAATGCAACCGGTAGCATCTCTCCTTTGACCACCTGAAACATTTCCCAGTCTCGAAAAAAAAAAAAAAGGTCATCCAACACCTACCACGCTTAAGTTAGAATTTAATGCAGCAAAAATGAGGAATATTAAAGATAACAGTGTGGTGGTATTGAGTGGTAGAACCTGGTCGAAGCATGGTACTTAAACCACCAGCGTATATCACTGTAAGGCAGCATATTACTCTGTGTCGGGGGGAGCGAGTTGGGACGGGAGGGACTGAGTGAAGCAAGCCATTTTGGAGGCAAAGGGGGTGCTGAATTTTTGTTGTTCAAATATTACATTTTCGCCAAGCAATGTATCATGATATGCTTCTTTTCCAGCGGGGTTTTAAAGGACATACACTAAAAACAAATTTTGTAAAAATCTTCTAAATTTGAGGGGTGCCGGGATTCATTTTTGAGGGTGTGGGTTTTTAAAAGACATACACTAAAAACACATTCAAAAAAACGCAAATTTGTAGGGTGCCGGGATTCCTTTTTTGTGGGTTTGGGTTTTTAAGTGACATACACTAAAATCAAATTTTGTAAAAATCTCATAAATTTGTGGGGTGCTGGGATTCATTTTTGTGGGTGTGGGTTTTTAAAGGACATACACTAAAAACAAATTCTGAAAAAATATCGTAAATTTGCGGGGTGCCGGGATTAATTTTTGTGGGTGTGGGTTTTTAAAGGACATACGCTAAAAACAACTTTTTTAAAAAATCTCATAAATTTGCGGGGTGCCGGGATTCATTTTTGTGGGGTACTCGAGCACCCACAAAAATGATCTGGAAAGGCCAAAGCAAGGACACTTACATATTCGTCGAGCAGGTGGTCCGTTTCAAGGCCGAGCGTGAGGGTGATCAGCTTGAGTCTGGAGAAGGCGTCCTGGCAAGAGATGGCGGCGAGGAGCGCCGGGCGACATTGAAGCGCCACCAGCGTCACCAGCAGCGCTGCGCAAGAGAGCAAACTGGTTACTTCAGTCGTCAAGCACTGGAAGCCATCCCAAGCCGAGTGCGAAACCATTCAATCTTATTTCGTTCACCAACAAAACAACAGGAGAGGCTTTTCGTCTTTTCATGTGCCAAATACGATACCAAAAATAAAAAAATTTAAAAAAGCGATCTTAAGTTCAAAAGTCTTAACAGCGGGTAACAGCTGAAGTAATTCACTGGGTGGCCCGTAAATTGTTTGTGCAAAATTGCGATTAAAACACCCTGAATAGGGTCAATCAAAATTAGAAAATGTGGATAAAAAATATATTCATATCGATATAATTTTAAAAGAAATACCAGAGTGCAGCAGCAGTCTTTTGAGTGCGGGAGCCATGGCGTCTGTTCTTCACATTGCTCCTCACTGGTGTCTCGTGTCTTTTTATGAGGAAGCATCCTCATCCCTTCATCATCATCATCCCCATCATCATACTGGACTGAACACACCCACAGCTGACACACTCGGAAAAGTTCACCCTTGCAACACGTGTCAAGCGTCCGTTTGACTGACACATCAGCGTCGTTCGCCCTCCCTCGCACAGGAGATCCCAAAATTCACTCTCAAATCTAAAAATATACCCAGGCACGCTTCATATATTGTCTTTTGGGTTTGCTGCATTCTTTTCTAATATTTTCGGATATTTGGGGGAGGGGGGGGGACTATATTTTATATGTGTGTAGAATTTTTTTTCCCCCAGTAATTTAAGTCCAAATTTTCGAATGTCGATTTTGATTCAATAAGATGTTTTATTTTACTCATATTTTGTCTTCGTATAGTTGGGGTGGGGGGGAGGGATATTTCCCCTTTATATTTTTTCACCTCAAAAAGTGCAGTGTATTGTTTTGTGATGTTTTATTTTTTGTTTAATCTTTTTGGGCAGTTTTTCCTTTCATTTCTGAGTTTTGTTTTCAGATAACTGTCTATGTCTATATCCTTCCCCGAATTAATTTTTGGAATTCTTTATTGGAGACATTTTTTTAATGTCCCTGATATATTTTTTTTTTTTAGGAGCGAAAAGCCAACTCCATTTTTCAAGTTTTTAAACATTTTATTTTTATGACCATGATGTTGCGTAACAGTCGAGCTAGTACAAAAAAATGTACCCCAAAAGTATGCGAGGTGATATTCTCCAAACGTTTTTAGCACGTTATTGACCAAGTAACAGGTGTTTCTTTTTTTTTTTTACTTCCTTACAAAACGCTGACCCATTCAAAAGACGCTTTGCCTCAGGGCGTTGAGGACGTTATCTGCTTTTTCGGGAGGACCGCGTCTAAAAAAAGCGGACAAAACAAAACGTCAGTGGGCAATGGCTGGAGCGAGAAGTGCTTGCGGCGTCCGAGGCGGCTTTGGGCGGCTCCGAGCTCAGCCGGTGGTCGGGTCCGTCCGTTGCTTGTGCAGCATGTCGCTCACACGAGCGATGTCCTCTTCGGGGACCTCAACAAACAAACACAAGCACACACCCAATCATTTCGTTTAGTTTTTGGGTCAAAACAGCAGAAGGGATTTTGACATTGATTGGAATCGAGCCCCGGCTTGAAACCTTCATTTGAAACCCTAACCCTTGTTTCCAACCAAAACCCTGGTTTCAAACCCTACTCGAAAAAAACAAATCCTTTCTTTTAACCAATCTCAGGCTCGAAATCTGAACTATTGTTCACAATCTTAACTTTGGCTTCAAACCATAATTTGAAACAGTAACCCCGGCTTGAAACCCTAAGCCTTAATTTAAAATCTGATTGGCAAAAATCGGCCATTTTTTGGGGGCAAAATCAAAAAGCGTTTTTTTCTTTTTTTTGGGGGGGGGGGTGATAGTTTGAATGTAATTTTCTGTGTTTTATTTTGTAATATGTTATTGTGAAGTTTTGGGGGGGTTTTGCTGATTTTTGCCGATTTTTAAAGCGCTAATATTGGCCAATTCATATGCTGGGCTCATGTTAAAAATCTGATTATTCCAAGTCAAATGTTCATTTGAATATCATTTTGTTTGCATTACATTGTAATGTGTTCCTGTTTAAAAATTAGAATAAAAAAGAAATTGTAAATTCAAATTCTAAAATTTATTTTAAAAATTGGCCAATTTTTTTGTTGTTGTGACGGATTCTTCCTGAATTTTAAAGACCTAATATTGACCAACTAATCTGTTGATCTGATGTTCGAAAGATGATTTTGGAGGGGAATGTTTGTTGGAATGTCACTTAATTTTTTTGTGTTGTAATGTGTTATTTGGTCATGAAAAAAAAAGCTCCAAAAATTGGCTTTTTTGTTGTTGTTGGAGGTTTGTGGCAATTTTAAACGAGTTAATATCAGCCGATTACTCCATGGGGCACGTGCTTCTGACCCAAATTTAAAACCCTAACCCGCGGGGACCCGTTAGGAGTTTTGAGTGACGCGAAACTCAGGACAAAAAGAAGAACCGGAGCCGCTCTGCAAGCAACATTTGCTTGGCGAATGCCGCCTTGGTGAAAACTTGTTTGCCTGGGACGAGAGTGAGTGGAAAAACACACAAACATGCACAAAGGGTCACGGGTAACGAAAACTGCACCGGCTTCCGTGGGGGAGGGGGTTCATCGCTTGTGTTTATGACAATGCGCTAAATGCGCTAAGATGAGCCGACTCAGCGGTAAAAATACACACAGCGGCCCGCTTACTGTCATCGTACTGCTCAGGTCTTGCGACAGTCGCTTGGCTGGGAAAAAAAAAAGACAAAATTGGGCTCTTCCCTCAACGTAACACGCAGCAGAAAAAAAAAATGAACAAGTAGGTCTTTTCTTGGCAGACATCAAAGACAATTTTGTCTTCAATGAACGTTTTGTCCTTTGCAACAATATTTAAAATAAATTAACATGCGTTTCTGCCAACATCAAAGACAACTGACTCGACCTATTTCCATACATCACTTATCTGAATTGAATGTTAATGAGGTTAACGAACATTTTTTATTTTTTTTTTGCAATCATCAAAATCTTCATAAATCCTAAAGTCCGAATGTCGATGCATGTGAACGTTCAAGACGTGTTAGGCCTCCTTGAACACAGCAATTTTGTTGACATTAAAGACCATTTAGTCTTCAATGAGCGACGCTGACTTTTTGAAAATGAGATTATGATGCGAGTTTTTGAGAACGTCAAAGACTTCAGTCTTCAATGACCCATGAACATACATGATCAAAGACAGGCTTGTCTTCCATGAACCAAACATGCAAGGTTTTGTGAACATCAAAGGCGATTGAATGACCAAAACCTATTCAGTTTTGTAAAAACAACAAAAGCACCTAAGACAGTTTAGCCCCAATGAACTGAACATACACGTTTGTTGAACATCAAAGAGAATTTAGTTCTCAACATTTGTTAACTTCAATGAGTCCAACCAATCTAACATGGCCTGTTTTTCAAACCAACGAAGCCAGCCAACTGAGACTTTACAACAAGCACAATGAAAGTTTTTTTGTTCACATATTCAGTTTTGTAAAAACAACAAAAGCACCTAAGAAAGTTTATCCCCAATGAACTGAACATACACGTTTAGTGAACATCAAAGACAATTTAGTTCTTAACATTTGTTAACTTCAATGAGTCCAACCAATCCAACATGGGCTGTTTTTCAAACCAACGAAGCCAGCCAACTGAGACTTTACAACAAGCACAATGAAAGTTTTTTTGTTCACATCAACTCAGATAACTCATCTTCTTGTTATCAAAGACAATTTCATCCACAATGAGCCATATGCACATTTTTTCACAAACATCAAAGACAATCCATCCATCCATCAATGGATGGATCAAAGACAATGGAATCAACAAACCGCATGTACAACAAACACGTTTCCCCCTAACTTAACATTTTTTTTCACATCAATGGCGATTCATCCTATTACACACCTAACTGATATGTGTTTTTTGTAAACATCAAAGACAGCTGATGTTTTTTTTTGTTTTTGTTTTTTTGCTCGGCGCCTGTTGCTGAGTCAATGCCGCGGAAGCGTGACCGCTCCCGGATGACCAAGCGGAAGGAAGCCTTAAATAAGAGTGATCTGTGTTTTTGAGTCACGCGACACAGGATCGGTCAGCGGTCGGCCGGCGGGCGGGGTATCGGCATCCACTCACCAGAGCGTGGTCGAAACTGAAGGTGCTGATGTAGTAGGCGGAGATGTCGCAGTCGGCCAGCGGCTGTGAGATCTGCGCCACGATGCCGCACTCATCTGAAAGAAGCCACGGCGCCACGTCTCGCTCGGGAGGCCATCTTGAAAAAACACCGACCGGAAAAAGAGAGCGGTCGCTCACCGAAGCCGAGCGGTTGTCCGCCAATGCGCACCATCCTCCACAGTTCCCCGGACGAGCTGGTGAAGAGGAGGTCGGCGGGGAAGCTGTGACATCAAAAACAAGTTGGAGTCGAGTGAGCAAACTTGCGCAAACATCAAAGACGCTTTGGGAACATCGAAGACCATTTAAGACGTTCAAACGCATCACTTTGGACTTCTCTATGTTTCTATAAAGACAATTTTGAATCTTCCCTGACTAACATACATATTTATGTGAGCATCAAAAGCACTTTAGAGTTTTTTGGAAAGCTAACGTGCATTTTGGGGAAATGCTGTATCAAAGACAATGTACCGAAAAGGCATGTTAGCATTAAACATCAAAGACAAATTGCAAATACAGTATCCTGAAACTATTTGGCCCTTTAAATGCACATGCTGTTCTTTTTTTTCTGAAACATCATAAAATTTCGAGTCGTCCTTGAACCTGATCTTTGTTGGCATCAAAAAAAGCACTTTAGAGTTTTTTGGAAAGCTAACGTGCATTTTGGGGAAATGCTGTATCAAAGACAATGTACCGAAAAGGCATGTTAGCATTAAACATCAAAGACAAATTGCAAATACAGTATCCTGAAACTATTTGGCCCTTTAAATGCACATGCTGTTCTTTTTTTTCTGAAACATCATAAAATTTCGAGTCGTCCTTGAACCTGATCTTTGTTGGCATCAAAAACACAACAATTTTTCGTGAAAATCCGAATTCATCCTCAATTTTACATTTCATCAAGGGACTGAGAGAGTACAGTATATATAAAAAAAAAAAGTTCACGGCAGGAGACGGCAGCG